CCGCAACATTGCTATAATGTTGCACTGTAATCTCTCTGAGGGCGGACATTTCAACGTTGCTGCAATCCTCCAGAAACGTTGCAGCAATGTTGCGCAACGTTGCTGCAATATTGCAATCTTGCAATGTAACATTTCTGCAATCTTCCTGTAATCTTTCTGTGCTATGTGGGGGGGGGGGGCGAATCCTTAATCCGTTTGTGCGACGCCAGCGCTGCTAAAAGTGGCGAGATTTTGATTCACTAACTTGCAATAATGTCGGCCCACATTCGGTGACGTAATCGAGCCTAGTTCCGTCTCCTTATAAAGACTCCATGCTAGCAATTCTCGATGCGGATTGGGTTGGGATTGGCGATTGGCGATTGTCTTCTAGCCAATGAGAGCAGCCAGCGATTTGATTGACTCTCATTGGCTAGAGGACAATCGTCGATCGTCAATCGCCATTCCCAATCCAGTCCAAGTCGGCAATTGCTAGTCTGATTCGGCCTTTAGGAGAATCGCGCGCTCGGCACTTTTACTCTCACTTATAGAAAGTAACGTGGCACGCAAGGAAACTCGCTCGTTACTTCTCCAAAGCCTAATCTACAATGTGCTCTTTGCGTTCAGAAAAACATTCTATTTGCTAGTCAATGTCTTACTTTATTTTTTATTTATTCGTCTTAATCCTTGCCTTGCTGCTTAGGATGACTTTCGGTTTACATTTTGTAATACAAATATCTTCTAGATACACATAATCGACATACAATATTATTATTATTATATCGTTATTAGAATGTTAAAATATTAAAAGATTCTAAAACTATGAGTTGTTTCTACTGCATCAAGATGTATTTTGTAGTCAATAAATACGTTAAAAAATTTATGCAACTTATACGTTACACAATTGTAAGTTGTCGACAAATGTTTTATCCGTTTTGATTCGCTTATATTTATAAAATATAATGTTTCTAGACGCAAAGAGCACATTGTGGATCATCCTTTAAGCTTAATCTAATCGAAACGCTTAAAAAATTTGTCGACAACGTACGGTTGTATAACATATAAGTTATAATTTGCATATATTTTTTAAACGTACATAGTGACTACAAAATAAAATGTTTCTAGACGCAAAGAGCACATTGTAGATCAGCCTTTGAGCCTATATAACTTGTATGTTATACAATCGTGCGTTATCGACAAATTTTTTAGGCGTTTTGATTTATTTATATAAACAGAATGTTTCTATGTACAGACAACACATTGTAGATCAAGCTTTAGTCTTTCGATTCATATCAAAGAGTTATGTTATATTTTATTCAAGTTTTCATCTGTCCATTCCTGAATTACGAAATTTTGTTTTGAGCGCGTGTTATTTTGACCCAAATTTTTTTCGGTCTTCTCTTCTAAAGGGATAGTCTTCTCTTTAACGAGGAACTGAAGGATACGCTCGGTTCTTTTATCCCTTTATTTATTCTGTAGAGCTAATTCTGACGAGAGAAAAAAAACCGGGGAGGCCACTTGTCGCGTTCAGGACGGACGTTTTATTTCATCGTCGCATCCTGGTGCGTAGAGCAATAAAGTATCGAACAATATAATATACGAGCAAGTAGAGCGTGAAGCAGTATAACCATCGCCTTATGCACTTAACGCAGCCTTTGTTCGTGCGTTTACGACGATGCACTCACGCTTGAGATCCAATGTACACTAACGTCATCGAGGCGCGTTATAAAGCTCTATCCGCAATAAAAAGATGCCCGAACGGGTATAGATTGTAAAAGGTCCGCCACTTTCTAAGCGTACCCGTAAACACGCGCGGCGGACGTTAAACGATGAGAATAGAATCTGCGATTGCCTGTGATAAGCGAAAAATCTTCGAAGCTACACACAGTATGGTAGCATAAATCAGTAAGTTTTTCTCTCGCTCGAAAAAAATCTCGATATTTACAATCCTACGGCAGCTACAGAAATTCATTATCGCAAGTGCAACGCTTTAGAACGCCACTCTGAAGAGAAAAACGAGGCGCACAGAAGCGAGATAAATGTTCATTTTACCTGAACCTGCACGAAACCATTCTTCAATCCCGTCATTTAATACCACGTGGTGGTTTAGCGACCTAGTCATATTGTTTGTGCAATTGCTAGAGAAACTGAAACCGGACAAAAGACAGGCGGGAGAAGAGAAATTTTTTTCGCATCTACATCCAACGATTCTTTTTTTACGAACTTTAGCAAAGCAAAAAAATGTGCTCGTAAACTTGTCAGACATTCAGTCTTTCGTAAACGTCCCACTTTTAGCAAACGCATTGAAATGGCCTTTTTATATTCGCGTCGCGTGGGTGAAATTTAATACGGAAATAAATTTAATGCGAAAACGTTTAAAACGCTTGCACGTTGCACGAGGTCTAATGCATATTGTAACGATTAATGAATTCGACTAAAATGGATTGAAG